GACCTTTTTAGTTAGGTTTTTTTTTATAGTTAAGTTAGGGTTTAGGGTTAGAATTATTAGGAAAAGAGTATAGGTGATTTTGGTAGAGCTTATATCTTTAAATTGAGACCTCTAGATTTCACAATGATCTGATTTCATTATGATCTGCAACAATTATTGTCTCGGATCATAATTTAAAATTTTCTAATCAACCTGTTAACCTTCTATACTTGTTTATTATAACTTTACTTTAAAACAAACCCCTAACCCTAACCCCTATTCCTAAAAAATGCACCCAAAAAATTCTATTTTTCGAGATTTTATATTATAATTTCATTTTGAACTGGATTTCATTATGATCTGCCACAATTATTGGCTAATCTGATGTAGATCGTGACGATACTGCCATATGATTTTCACGGTACACCTGATCTCACAATCTGATTGGCTAATTTTTGGTGGCTTTAGCGTTACGCTTCTTTCAGCGAAATTAACACAACTATGTCTTATGAGAAATTGGATTTCGACGAAGGGAAAAGTTCAAACCTTTTGTCGTCTTTACTCACTTTGAATAAAGACACCTCGTCTGAGGAACTAGCTGAGAAAATTTTCATGGAAGAGTTTACGTCACAAATAGCAGAAAATCCACAGGTAATGACAGCGCTTGCCGAACAGCTTTCACCACCAAATGCTGAGTATAAAATGGTCCCAGTGCAACCTCTACCGGGATTTGTAGCAAAAACTTATACTACAAAAAATTGCAAGCAATATCAAAACATGAAAGTTTTGATCAATATATGCCATTCGGACGTAATTCCTCGTCCACCAGCCGCAAGCGAAGAGGAAATACGTAAAGCTATGAATGCTGAAGAGGATGCAATGTATAATGTCCCGCTTGTACTGAGTGATTTGCGGCAAGATATGGATAAAGGTCAGAACAATTACTAGTTTAGTGCCTACATACTTTTTACAAATACATTCATTAACATTCACCTCGTATAAAGATCAAAACGATTGTCTCGTGTGCGATGCTATAATACATTCTGACCCATATAAAAGAACAATTAAAGACTCAGATTTCAAACTATATATAACAGAATTGGCAGTAGAACTAATAGAGGATAATCATAAACTACAGTTGAGTCGAGGTAAATTACATCTAACACAAAAAAGATCCTTGAACATTTCATTTATTAAATACATGTTTTATTTTCAGAATTTATATTTCCAAAAGCTTCTTATAAAGGCAAGATAGAACGTAGACTAGTTCAACTTCCGGAAGAAAAACCATCATTAATAGCCGAAATACCTACTCGTCCACCAACTCATCAAAAAAAAGCAACAAACAATATTAACGATATTAAAACTGTTAAATCACAAATTCAAAAACCAGAGTATATAATTGTCGAGGAATACAAGGATAATAAAAGTTATATTATAATTGCTATTGAGATACCATTAATAGGCTCAGTGAGTTAGATTTTTTTTTTAGTAATATTTCATCAAGAATACAGACGTTTACTGAATTGATCTTTTAATTTTAGCAATCAATCAATGCTATAATGTTGGATGTAGAGCCATCGCGTCTTCTTTTTAATTTACCAGGAAAATATTCTCTAGACATCAATTTACCTAATACGGTAGATATTACAACGGCTGTCGCTAAGTTTATTAAACCAAAGAAACGATTAGTAATAAAAGCAATAAAGGTAACAGCATAATAAAAATAGTACTCGAAAGGTGTTAAATTTCATGAAACGAGATATCTATTGTTTTAATTAAAACCATAATATTCGAGTGAATGTAAGTAAATAATAATTCATTAACTGTAAATTATTGTCATTATTATTCTTTTCAATTATTTTAATTAAACTTACTTTTGTACTGGATACGCGACTAATTATTATAATGCCGAAAAAATCTTATTACAATAAGTGGGCAGACCATAAAAATACATATGAATATTAATTACATGACGCCCTAGCTCTCCCACAAAAAATTATTCACCCCCTGTAAGTTTGACCAATCGAATTTTAATTAGGAAACCACCTTCTGCGGACGCCCTAGCTCTTTTTAGGGTTGGGGCCACGGCAAAAAATTTGGGCATGCCCTCTCTTTTCGTGCCCAGGGCATGCCCCCTATATAATAAATAAAAACCCCTAGCTGTCCCACAAAATTTTTTCCACCCCTTGTAATAAAAGGCGTAACGTGAAAATCGAACCGAAGCAAAAAAAAAGAATAGCTCTAAATTTTAATTAGGAAATCACCTTCTGTGGTTTAATGAAAAATGTTCCTTGTAAAATTTTACTTGTAGACGTCACATTATCCTAGTTCTAGCCCTAATTATAACGCAGTTTTCTTAACTTTAATTTTGCACGTAACTTTTTTACTTAGAAAAACAAAACACGTTTGTTTTGACTATTACGTTACACCTGATCCTGAAATTCGACTGGTCATTATTACAAGGGGTGGAAAAATTTTGTAGGACAGCTAGGGGCTTTCTGTTTCGCATTACATCACATGATCTGGAATTAATATAACCCGTTATTTAAAACAAAAAAAGAAACAACTTGGTTTTCAGTTACACGAATATGTACGTGACGTTTTGTGTACCCGAATAAATTAATAGATCTGATATGATAATCACGTTTATTATATCGATTACATAAGTTTCCTATTAGACACTATAACTCTTCGTCCATTAGTTGCTACAATATGGTACATACGAAATTTTATTTTGTAAAAGTGACATGAGCAAAATTGTAAATTAACTCAACCATTATTAGGCTGGTGCATTAAGTAGAGCAAAAGAAACTTTACCAAAGTTAAAAGACTCTGAAAGGGAGAGCGATTATGGATATGTGTTTGCCGTCTCCGGTCCAGGTATAAATGGCCTCTTCATCAATAATGTCTTCATATATCAGGTTACGTAGCAGTATTTACAAGGAAGAATTTTTGGGAATCTAGTCGTAACCGCGGAACAAATGACTGGAACAGCTATGTTTGAGCTGGTATGTTATTTTTTTATTAATATGAAGTTATAGTTTTTTCATTTAATGAATACTCTGATAAGCAAAATTTTTCGCGTTGATGTATTGTAAAGGTCAGAGTTGGTCATGAAGAGCTTGTTGGAGAAGTTATTCGTATAGATGGAGATAAAGCGACTATTCAAGTTTACGAAGAAACTTGTATGAAATCATCACGAAAATACAAATTGACCAAATTTATATATGACTCTAAAAGAATATCCATTTGCGTTTATCAGCTGGTTTAACTGTAGGTGATCCCGTGTTGAAAAGCGGAAAGCCTCTTTCCGTTGAGTTAGGACCTGGTATGACTCTATATTTAAATAGCATATTTTTCTGATTCGATAATAACTTAGCATTATTATTTATTATGCAGGTTTGATGTCCAATATATATGATGGGATTCAACGGCCATTAAAGGTAAAGTAATATTGTTTATTATGTAATTAATTTTATTTATATATTATTTATTGATTACTTTGTATTATTAAAGAAAATCTACGAACTTTCCCGTAGTATTTATATCCCACGTGGAATTGCCACTCCCTCATTAGACAAAAAGTTGTCTTGGGACTTTGAACCTTCTAACTTTAAGGTAAGTAATTTTATAATTGATTTGACTTTGCCAATAGTTTTACATTATTTTAACTTCTAGGTTGGAGATCACATTACGGGTGGAGATATTTATGGCAAAGTTTATGAAAACTCTTTAGTGAACAATCACTACATTATGTTGCCACCCAAAGCCCTTGGCACAATTACATATATCGCAGAAAAGGGATCTTACACTTTAGAGGTACACCTAAAATATACGAGTCCATAATTATTTTATTTTATTTTAAAAGGTACTCAATTGTATATAATAAATAGGATACGGTGCTAGAAATTGAATTTGAAGGTCAAAAGTCTAAACATTCAATGTTACAACTTTGGCCTGTTCGATCACCTCGTCCAGTTACCGAAAAATTAATAGCTAATTACCCCCTATTTACCGGTCAGCGAGTTTTGGATTCACTGTTCCCGTAAGGTTTATTACTAATACCAAATCTAAAATTAATAATTTTAAATTATCATTTCACTTTTAGGTGTATTAGAAATATTATGCTAACTGTTGTTACTACAGGTGTGTGCAAGGTGGTACTACTGCTATTCCTGGGGCTTTTGGATGTGGAAAAACAGTCATTTCTCAATCTTTATCGAAGTATTCTAATTCCAATGTTATTATATATGTTGGATGTGGTAATTAGTTAATTTATTTATTTTATTATTGATTATTATTATTGAAATTGTTAAGATTAATTTTATTTTATACTGTAAAATTTTATTTATAGGTGAAAGAGGCAATGAAATGGCTGAAGTATTAATGGATTTCCCAGAAGTAAGTCATAATTAATTTGTTACTGTATTATTATTATATGTTTTATCAAATAGCTATAAAGAACGCTATTATCATTGTAGCTTTCAATCAATATAGATGGCCGTCAAGAGTCCATAATGAAACGCACTGCATTGGTGGCAAACACTTCAAACATGCCAGTGGCAGCTCGTGAAGCGTCTATTTATACTGGTTTGTAATTTTTGTTCGGGATTTAATACACGGATTGTATCACTTAAAGACGTGATTTTTTCATATTTATTCTAGGCATTACACTTTCAGAGTATTTCCGTGATCAGGGCAAGCATGTTTCCATGATAGCAGACTCCACTTCTCGGTGGGCTGAAGCCCTTCGAGAAATATCTGGTCGTTTAGCAGAAATGCCAGCAGGTGAACATATATGATATTATTACTGCATTCAGTACACCATACAATATTACCCGGGTATAAATTAGACTTGAAGACTAGTAATGTCTAATGACAATGAACCTATGCCTAAAGATAGTTCAAATACCCTCTTGAATTTTACTCTCATCTTCACACAGTACCCTGGGTATTGAATGCAGCTGTAGGTTAAATAAATGATTTTCTTTTAACATTACTTTTAATTATTATTAAATCAGATAGTGGCTATCCTGCGTACTTGGGTGCTCGGTTGGCGTCTTTCTATGAACGTGCTGGAAAAGTTACATGTCTTGGAAATCCAAAGCGAGAAGGAAGTGTTACTGTTGTAGGAGCGTATGTCATCATATTTTAATCTACGGAAATGTATGTTCATTTTTATACCTAAAATTAAAATGATCTTCTATTCGAATATAATAGTGTCTCACCGCCTGGTGGAGACTTTTCAGATCCAGTTACTTCAGCAACACTTGGTATAGTTCAAGTATTCTGGGGTTTGGATAAGAAACTTGCTCAACGCAAGCATTTTCCGTCTGTAAATTGGTCCTTGAGTTATTCAAAATATCTCAAAGGTTTAGAAAGTTACTATGAAGGCGTAGAGCCTGAATTTATCTCTTTAAGAGACAAAACCCGAGAAGTTCTTCAAAAAGAAGAAGACCTTTCAGAAATTGTCCAGCTTGTTGGAAAGGTTTGCATATCGTTTTCATTCTTTTAATCTGTTTAATATTTGCATGGAATAAATCAATTCTTTATTAGAGTGCACTTGGTGAAGCGGACAAAATCACATTGGAAATCTCTAGGATCATCAAAGATGATTTTCTACAACAAAATGGATACTCTTCATACGATCGTAACTGTCCATTTTATAAGGTGCATGATTGATTGTATTGCTATATTTCAACAGTCTAATGATACATTACAAAAACCTAGATCTCTTAATATGCAGTTACTGCACATTAAGATGTCTAAGTTTCTATATAATATGTTTAACATTAATTTTTACATTAGACCACCTGGATGCTTAAAAATTTGATTGGATTCTATAACGCAGCTACTCATGCCGTTGAGGTCACAAATGGTGAAATAACATGGGCAAAAATCAAAGAAAGGATGGATGACCTTCTGTACAAACTTAGTTCTATGAAGTTTGAAGTAAGTTTTATCATATCTTTAAATCTTTTGTACGTTATGTATATTAATAAGTACTTTTTATATTTAAGGATCCTGCAGATGGCGAAGAAGTTCTTCGCGAACGTTATCAAAAGCTTCACACTGAAATCCATGAAAGATTTAGACAATTACTTGAGTAACTAAATTAATACTAAAACAACGATTTCATTTTAAATATTTATCGTGTATTATGATATTTAGTTTTAGGCATAATTTATTTGCAGCTATGTAATCACATAATGTATTATTAATAAGAATATAATTGAGTGTAACTTGGTTAAACAGGTTTTGACTTCTAATAATATTCTTATTAGAAAGTTTAAATTACTAACAAGCTAAAAAACGACAATATATAAGTCGTTTTTTTTTTTTTTCTATTTTTGACATGTGCTAACGAGGGAAACCCAACCGCTGGGTTTTTAGGTTATAACTTAATAAACTTTGTTACTGAAAAATTTGATTACCGATATTTATAGCAAATTTAGCGTGACCGAAGATCAGGAGTTATTCGGATGCGAAGTTTAATTTTTTTTATAGTTTTAAAATTTAATTTTTTTTAATTTTCTGGCTTTTAAGTCTAGATATTACTTTAAGAGTAAGGTTTTAATTTTTTTTATAATTTTTTAGTTTTTAAATCTGAACATTGCGTTAGGTATAAGTTTTGGACTTAATTAGGCATCGCAGCCCTGCGATGTGCTTATATATCGCATTATAATGATTGACCAATCAAATTTCAAGAT